GATATGGAGGGGATATCTCAACCTCTACCACAACAGAAGTGGTAAATTCAAGTTTAAACTTCATCACTGTGTAGAAAAACTTGTAACGGGCTTGTTTTGGTTTGGTTTTGTTTGTTTTTCTCTTCAATAGGAACGACTTCTACGAGCTCTAGATTTCCGGAACAGGTTCTCTTCTCGCCCATACTTACCTTCACACGTTATACCTCCAGAGAGAAAAAAGGTGAGAGTTACACATGTAATGCTATTGTACAATGGACTTCCCTAGTAGCCTGACAATGTGGACTTCAGTAACTTCACGAGCATGTGTATGATGAGCACAGGCCTTGATGATGTACAGAGGAGTTTGGCGAATGCAGCTGTCAACTTTAGAATACTGCCGTTTTGAATTACAGTTTTAACTGTTCCTTAGTCCTCTATTTATGCACATCCTTTGCAGCTGAGCACCAAAGGGTTCGTTTACTCACAGTAAGACTAAAACCTATGGGTTTGTACACATGCCAGAATGAGCTGGGTTACCACTTTCCTGCACTCAAAACCTGCCAGGGAAGACCGGGTGACATAGGACAGTGTTTTTTGAGAGCTGTCACATTCAGCATCCCATTGTTTCCCCACTGCAGCACCTCTGGGAGTCTGGGGCTTGCAGGAGGGCAGAGGCAGTGTCACTGTGGGAATGGCTAGTCCAGGTCAGGCTGAGGTACATCCAGAGACCCCCATTACCATTTCTAGGAGCCCCAGTGTGGGTTCCCACTGAACTCATGTGCATGCGCCCTGTGGTGGGGGTCTTAAGACTACGGGTAAAGCAGGCGAGTGTTAAAACTTCATTAGTAGCATGCTTCATGCTAACGTTTAGTTGCTGAAAACAGTATCACTACACACGGAGCTGATGCTCTGTCACTCGCACTTGGGGTCACCCTCCACCCTCCCACAGGACAGCATCTTCTGGAAGACGGTTTCTAGACGTTTCCTGACTTAGAGCTTTCACTGTGACAGCCTGCTTCAGGGCCCTGGGGATGACTTTCCCAGCCCACAGCAACTGTTTATCAACCGCTGTTTTTCTTAAAGCAAAAGCAGTTTTTCTATAGCTCTTCAGATTGTACTTCTTTGGTAATTCACTGCTAGTTTATTGTTCTGTGCCCTCTGTTTTCAACTAGTGCCTGTGTGCTCAAGGCTTTTGCTGCTTCCCACGCTCAGCATTCCATTATAGCAAGGTAACAATTACCAAGCTCCAGTTCACTCAGCATGTTCCCATAACAAGGTGGTAATGAGCCTAATAAGCCAGTCTTGGAGCCTCCCACATAGGACACAGTTAGCCCAAGGCCTATGGCCTTTACTTTTATTGGGCCACTGGGTACAAAACCACTTCCACCGTATTACTGTGCTTATGCTTGAATTCAAAACCACACAGTACTGTGGTTTGCTTAAGCTCTGCTTTGGCCACACTAACCATCCACATCTCTAGACAGCTTAAACAGGGGGATGTTGTCAGTAGTATGCCCTGTTCAGAACTGCAAATAGTATTTACAATACAGGCTTTTCCAGTGCTGAGCCAAAGTCTGATTTGGGCTGAAACATATTTGATTAAAGGCCAGTCAGATGTGGCAAAGCTGATTAAATTGAGATAAAAGATGAGGAATGGAAATACTTGTTTGCTAAGATTTTAATCACATCTTATTTGAGAGGGTTTCCATTTCTGTGTGGTGATCAGGTATAAGGCAAATAAAAAGGAAAATACTTAATTTTTTAGGGCAGAACTTTTTTCAGATCATAGAATCATAGAATGGTTTGGGTTGGAAAGGACTTTAAGATCATTTAGTTCCAACCCCCCTGCCATGGGCAGGGAGACCTCCATGGATGGATGAGGAACTGCTGAGGAAACTCAGAGGGGAAAAAGAAACTTATAAAAGGTGGGCAGGGACACCACACATTAAACCATGTTACCCCAGGCTCTGTCCAACCTGGCCTTGAAAACCGCCAGGGATGGAGTGTTCACAACTTCCCAGGGCTACCTATTCCAGTGCCTCACCACCCTCACTGTAAAGAACTTTTTCCTTAGATCTAATCTAAACTTCCCCTGTTTAAGTTTAAAGCCATTACCCCTTGTCCTACCACTACAGTCCCGAACGAAGAGTCCCTCCCCAGCATCCTTGTAGGCCCCCTTCAGATACTGGAAGGCTGCTCTGAGGTCTCCACGCAGCTTCTCTTCTCCAGGCTGAACAGCCCCAACTTTCTCAGCCTGTCTTCATACGGGAGGTGCTCCAGTCCTCTTATCATCCTCGTGGCCTCCTCTGGACTTGCTCCAACAGCTCCATGCCATTTTGATGTTGAGGACACCAGAACTGTACACAATACTCCAAGTGAGGTCTCACAAGAGCAGAGTAGAGGGGCAGTAGAGGGTATTCTTCACAGGCCACCTGTCCTTGCTTCCACCTTTTATAAGCTTCTTTTTCCCCTCTATGTTTCCTCAGCAGTTCCTCATCATCCATGAAGGTCTCCTGGCCCTCCTGCTGCACTTCCTTCTAGTTGGGACTCAACACTCCTGAGCTTGTAGCAGGTGATCCTTGAGTATCAACCAGCAGCCTTGGGCCCCCCTGCCCTCTAGGACTATATCCCATGGAACCTGACTAAGCAGGTTCCTGAAGAGGCCAAAGTCTGCTCTCTCGAAGCCCAGGGCAGGGAGCTTGCTGCACGCCTTTCTCACTGTCCTGAGGATCTCAAACTCGACCATCTCATGGTCGCTACAGCCAAGGCTGCCCTGGAGCACCACTTTCTAGATGGCTAGAAAGACACTTTCTGTCTTGGAATGTTTCTAGTTTCAGAGGGTGATTAGTGCATTTTCCAAATCTACAATTTGCAAAAAGCCTTGATCTTTTGAGGTATATGGAGTGCTTGTTTGGAGTACTTTGTTGAGAATCAGCTGCTTTGTTTCTGTAGAAGGGCTAGCACAAGGCCATCTGCTGTGAAAATGGTTTTTGTTTGTTTTGAAGGAAAGTGCTAATTGAAGCAGCAATCTGCACTTGAACATCACAGCAGCAAGATGAGGCTACTCTTTCGACACTTTCCAAATGTTGTATATTAAAAGTCTAAAATCTTTACTATATTTTACATCTTCTTCAGAGGTGTGTTTTACCCATATCCTGGCAGTAGCAGTGTAACTGCATCTGCGGTGCTGCAGCAGAATGTTTTCAATAGATTTCCATTTTGGTAAGAACACATAAATACATGTTACATGCCAGTTTACAGGCTTATCTTAATTTTATAAATAGAAGATTTCAAAGCACTTGGGGTTTTGATGTACACAGGTTTAATGTGGGCTTTCCATGAAGTGTACCATTAACAGATATGATCAAGATAATTTAGGTTTTCTCACCATGTTTCTTAAGAAGCAGTTGGAAACAGAAGTATGTTCTGTCTATGGGCAGTTGTGCCTGGTCAGCTGGCCATGTATCTTACAAGTTTATGAATACATATTAAATTAAAACATTATTGCTAGGTAGAACTCTGTTAAAAGGAAGCAGATACGAAGATGAGATATTTTGCCTCTTCTTGAGTTCATGTATACAAATAAATGCAGAGTAAAGTTTCTTGCTATATATCACCTTGCAGGACCGAATTAATTTAAATGTAAATCCTCCACTGTAATTTCTGGGAAGCAGGTAATTTTTATCTTGCTGAATACTCTAATCCTTTTTCTTGTATTAGATTATTTTCAGGGATATCTTAGAAATTAGATGGCCTGACCCTGCTACAGCTAATCTGACAAGATGTGCAGACAATGGCAGTGTGAAGATCTCGTCAGTAGATGGTTATGCTCACCTTTACCTGTCAGAATTGCAGCAAGAATTCACAGTGGAGTTCTTATGCAAAGTCAGCCAGTCAACAGCAGCATCCCTAAGCTCCTCTCAAAAGAACAGCAACGCTCAAAACAGAGATCACTATGGAAAATCACAAAAGAATTATGTTGCTGTAATGCCATTGAAACAAACAAGCATAGAGGGTAAGAAGACTGATCAAGGTTGCACTGAAGGTAAATACAGAGAACCAACCAATTCAGAGGACCAAAGAGACACAGATGGAGTCCCTTTGTTCTACACAAATCACTCTTGTGAATACACGTGGGTTACACAGTGTTGGTCTGTCTCCTCCTACCCAGAAGAATGGAAATACCCTTTGTCACTGGCACATATGTGCTATAACTTACATACTGCTAAGAATGTAATGCAGACATGTGAGAAAAACAACCATCCCTCTACAGAAACTGATGTTTTAATAGATCCTGGAACAAAGGAAACAGCTTCTCATTTACCTACAGCTTTGCCACTCAGCTGCAGAGCCCCACACTTACACAGGTAATTTAAGCTGTTTACTTTGTAGTTGATGACACACATTTTGAAATTTTGTAATTTGGAACTTCAATCTCTAGCAAAATAACTGAATTATAGCTGTAAAAGATTTTTAAAAATTTACTATAGTAGTAGGGTTTTTTTTAGGAACTTCTTGAGACATGAAGTCTGTGAAACTAACATTCTGCATCCTCTAATGAAATACAGTAATTAGTCCAGAGAAAAGTATTTTCTTACATTACTGACATGCTGTGTAACTATGTAAAGGAAAAACAGAATACTGAAAAAAGAGCACAGTTTTTGGGTCTGTTTGGTGTGGTTTCATTTTTGAGAAGATACTTCTGAGGTGTGCCAGTGGCGTATGCTTTCTGTCAGTACCACTGAAAGTAATTAAACAGAACAAAAAAACTTTTGCAGGTTTGAGAAAATTAATTTGGTAACTAATATAGATAACTGAGTAATCAGAAGAATCTGAAAATATGTGGTCTCTTTTCCTTTAGTAAGTGCGCATCCATCTGTTCTTGCTATAGAAATTACTAGCAGCACATAAAGAAAAAAACATGACCTTGAGACTTACTGAAGCGTTTGTTGTATTTCATACAGGTGGACTTTCTGTGACTTCTTTCAGAATGAAGATGCTGAAAAGTATACATGCCCTCAGCTAATTCAGATTGTATGGTGGCAGGGTGTTTTTTATAGGTATGTAGGAGATCTCATGTTTCATCTTTGGAAGACTTTATGGGAATTAAGCTTTAAGATGCTGTACTTTGTCCCTTTCTTCACTCTTTGAGAGATTGCACTCAATCTTTGTGTAAGAGTCTGTTCAATTTTGCTATTCACTGGACTTCAGATTTTCTGGTACAGCATATTTCCAGGTCTGAAAGTGGGTATGTCTGAAACAAACAATCTGACATCATGTTTAAGGCTTTTAAAGTAGTGATCTGATTATAGAATCATGGAATGGTTTGGGTTGGAAAGGCCTCTAATATCATCTAGTTCCAACCCCCTGCCATGGGCAGGGACACCTCCTACTAGACAGGTTGCTCGAGGCGCTGTGTCTGATTTCTTAAAGGTTTACTGGACAGCTGGAGCTCCCACTGGCAATTATGGTGCTTGGTTTCTTTGCAAATTACATTGCTCCTTTTGATGCTGAAGATTTCATGCTTTAAAAATGCATGGTGACCTATCTTGGTCTTGGTGTCTTGGTAACCTACATAATTCACATGCTGCAGGCAGCTAAACTGTGGATTTTCCTGGCAAATGATTTTGTTCATATGGTTAAAAAAAAAAAAACAAAAACAAAACCACAAACCTTTTTTAAAATTGCCCTTTAAAATCTGGTGTAAAACCTGAAAATTCTACAGTTGCTATCAACATCTAAGTGTCTTTGAGAAAAATATAATCAGTCTTCAAAGCTTTAATCTTTCTGCCCAGTGTTCTTCGCTTTTCTCAGTGCAGTTCCTAAATTTTCATCTCATTTCTGAACAAAATGCTCAGCAGCTCTTCAGTACTGTATCTCATTTCTTTGGAAGTACGGTGACCAGCCATACTTAGTTTTTTAAGCCCCATTACCAAAGTCCAGGCATGTAACCACAGAGTCACAGAATTAGGCCATTAAATGGCTTTTAGGCTTCTAAGATACCATATGATCACAAGTGAAAGACCATTGATCTCAGGGACAAACACACAGCTGCAGTGAAAATTAAGACCTTCAGGTTGTTAAGGTATCATTCAGCCTGTCAGCTCTCTGTGTACACTAGGTAGGGCTGGACCACTAAGAAAATTGGGCTTTTCTCTTCATAATTGCTGTATTTTGTGCTCAGCAGAATGAACAGCTCTTGTGAGATGTTTACCTCAACACAAAAAAGCTTTCCTTAGCTTGTTTAACTCCAGCATGCCATGCACACAACCAAAGAAAGAGCCTGGCAATGCTAATGTTCTGTGTTGAAAGAAGTAATTGGTACACTCTGGTGTTTGTGAAACAGTAGAAGGTTTTTCATGTAGCAGTTGTGTTGAAAATACTTTTCTGCTTAGTGCTTTCTTGAAATGTACTAACCTGTTTTGCTTGTGTAGTGACACTATTTCTCTCAGATTTATCCACGGTAGGAAAAACATCATAGAAATCTATCCTGGTGATGACTCAGTTCTCAAGTCAGAGGGAGCACTTTTTGGAAATTATTTCATACACTATGTAATCCAAAAAGGAACAAGAAAGGTATAAAACTGTTTAAAATTTTTAAAATATTTTCCAAATTCCTTCAAGCTAAGCAGTTTTCTTCGTTTTCAGAATTTGCCAATGCAGTCTGTAGTGAATGGAGCAGTCATAAAAAAATGAGATTATATTTTCTGTTCCAGAATATATTTTTATAAATCATAGAAGCAGTTAAGTCCTGTTCATTGTACTATTTCACAAGCTCAAGTATGCACTGCAGTAAGATTCTACAGTGACCATTTTTTACTAATTTAGAAGAGATAGTCTGTAATATACTGATTAGAGGTTAATCTTTATGCACTTGTTCTTTTTCATGGTTTAGAGACAGAACCTAGAAGACGCGGGTTCTGTTCTAGCTTTGCCACAGAACCAGCTGTTCATTGCTGGATAAATGTTTTGCCTCTCCCTGTGTCTATTGTTAAGCTTCCCCAGAGTAGAGATCCTCTGAAGGCTCATGCAGTGCTTTGTATTTTTAAAGCATAATTAAGCATCAACTTTGTACCCTCAGAACCAAGCCTGTGACTTGTAGTCAGTCCTAGTTACTCAGTAATGAACTACAGCTGACTCTCTGAAAAGAGAACTTCTTGGTCTGTACCAAGTGCATGGAAACCATGCATGTTTGTTCCCACAGAAGTAGGCTTGAAGGATACAACTGTGCGTTTATACTTTTCCAGGACATACCTGTCTGTGTTCTGGGAAAAATGTGACTATAATTGCTTTCTGGAGGTCAGAAGTTTCATATCTTGCAATATTTAATGCTGTTTTCATGCTACAGTACCTGTAACTAACTCACCTCCTTTCTGCTCTTTACTGCAGAGGGAAGAGAAGATGTATTCAGTCAACAACCTACCTCCTGATGTACCAGGAAATTCATATTCTGTATCCTCCATCATTACTCAGGCAACCAAGTAACTTTACTTTATCTTTGTTACATTAATTCCTCTAAGTTTGAAAGGACAGTAGTTAAAATTACACATAATATTTATTATTACATTCAGTATAAAAATTAAAGGAATTCATATTTGCACTAAGTAAGTATGTCTATAAACTTACAGAAGATCACAACTATTTAGGAGATGTAGTAAGTATGAAATGCTTCATGCTTTGTTGTTTGTGTTTTTTTTTTTCTCAGAATACTTCAGTACTGCTACAAGACTAAACTGTCATTAACTCATAACTATTATCTCTGCTGTTGGAAAATGGTATGCAGCTGAAAATTTATAAATCTTTCAGTGTTATAAGGTTGATTATACAGGCTATAGGGAACAGGACATAATCTAGAGGGAAGAAGAGTGAGTGCATCCTCAAAGATCAAAAGATATATATTGGGGAACAAGTAGCATGCAGTGTAAATGTTTACTTGTGAAGCAGAAGGCAACTGCACAATAGAGATCTGGTTGTGGTCTGGAAAAACAAGTAAATTGAAAATCTGGGAGAGATTCAAATAGCTGAATGAATTAAGTAACCTTTTCTCAAGTTTTTAGTGTATTTGTCTGGTTCTAGGTACCTGAGACAGATGGACGAGAAATGTTGCCAGTTTTGCTGTATGAAAAGGTTATTCCCAGCATAGGAAGACTCCTCGTGTACTCGGATCATAAAGTCCATGCTGCTTTCTGGGATGGGGTGACCTTGAATATGGTCTGGGATTTTAGCTCTTCCTGTAGCAAGATCCAGGTAACTCATGAGTTTTGGGGTGACTACTCTTAAAATTCTTAATGAAAAAGTATTACTAGGAAGCTAACAAGAAGATGAAACAAAAGTTTTGATGCCTATAAAATACAAACTGAAGACTTTGGAGAGATTAATTCACAGCATTTTTCATTTAGATGAATATAGAAGCTCAAGAGGAAGTTTGTCTCACAAGCTTGTACAGTCATCTAAATGAAAACAGGCACTATCTGCAAACACCACCGTTAATGTATTGCCAGTAATTTAACCAGAAACAAGGAGGAAGAATATTTTCATGCCTGACTGATGCCTAAGGAGGCAAATGAAACTATCCTTTCAAGAAGTCATTCACATTGATCAAAGAAGGGAGTATTTGGTTTTTATTTCAAATTACCTTTATTTCAGATTTATTTCAAATTATCATTGAGTAAATGGATAGTGAAAAATTACTTGGAAAAGTAACCTTATGCATATGGTGTTCCATGTATGTGCTTAAATGTACTTACTACAGAAGTAAAACAACTATGTTGATTTTTGCAGAATAGCACTACATTCTACAATGGTGTGGGATTCAAGGTTGACTGCTGAGACTTTTGCTTCTGTGTCTTTGCTTATTATCCTGAGGTGACAAGACACAAAAATATGTTAAAGCACCTGAGGATATCTCTATTATAAAAAATATAAATATGATAGCGTGTCAAGAGATACGGTATAACTTCCCGATGAGAGCTAGCTCAAATCTATATACCTACTCATGATAAAAGGAGGAAGAACTGAATATTCTACAGATTTGGAAACATTTCTACACACTTTTCTAGAAGTAATATATTCTTGAATAGCCAAATTCTATCCTTAACAAAACACAAACTATTAAGCATTTAAAGTGGAATGTTCATAGATACTTAATTCTTAAATTGGCGTATTACACTTGTCTTTTTTTTTTCCCAGACCGTAGCAGAAAATTAATACTTCTAATTTTTTTCTTCTAAGGTAAATGAAGACGTAGGCTGGTGTAAGTTAACTACCCCTGATGGGTTACAGCAGCTAATACAAATAAGTCATCCTGGAATCTATGAAAGGTACAACTAACTTAAACAATTTAAAGTTAAACAGAAGGGAATTCTGTACAAATCCTTTATATGAAGACACGGTATTTACTGAAAATATATAGGAGGGGGTAACACCAAACACACAATGATAAAAGCTCTGTTTCATATGGCAAAGATTCAGGACCTTTATGGCTCAGGACTTCTGCATGCTATCATCCCATTATGATTATTCCAGTGGTATCTTTTTAGAAACGTAACTAGAGCTGGAACTTGGCACTTAGATCAGTGGATAAGGATGGGAAAAAAAGAAAAAATCCTTGTCCTATATAGAACTGGTACATAGAAGTGGATAGCATTTTATCCAATTTCTGCTTTATAACAGATACTGACCTCTGCCTGCAGATTGCTTTCTCTAATCTGCTTGCTCTAATTACAGCCCCATTATGGGAATCATTAGAAGCTTACTGTGCTTCTTTTCAGCAAGGAGATACTCACAAACAAAAATTAACATTTGTACACTATTCATTACAAATCATACTGCTTTGTTATAATTTTCTGTCACAGCACAGATTTTAACATGAAGGAGATTCTAGACAAAAAATGGGAATCAAAAAATGGCAAGGGAACCTAGAGAGAAAGCTAGATTTTGACTCATGTTTTTTTCCTTTCAGATCCAGGTCTATTGCTTAACGCCTTCAGGTTTTTTGCTTGAATTAATACAGTGTATTTCTAATATAAATAACTATTTTTTGTAAATTTTCATGTTAATTTAGGTACACAAGAACAGCAATACAATGGTGCAGAAGTTTGAACGAAAAGGAGATTCCTGAATATACTGAACACTCTGTAACTGAAGAAAACTGGTATTAATCTTTATCCTAAATAACTGACTACAAATAATGTTGAAAATAAAACTCAAAATGACTATAATCTGTGAATTTTACAGACTGAATTTTCTAAGGGTCAGAAAAATTTTAAGTCCACTAATTTTTCTTTCAGTGTTTAAAAAGTTAGGTAAACTGAGTTCTAGAAGAAGCTTGTTTCATTGCCCTTCTGCCTGCCTTACTTAAAAATCAGGATTATAGTGACTTTGCCAGAGGAGGATTAATGTTACAGAGATAGTATCTTGCAAGGTGAAAAAGAGAAACTAGGCTAAGAAAGGCGTCTTTTAACAGAGCACCAAGCAGCTCAAAATAGTACTTTCAACTGCTAGATGACACTTAACATCTCTGGCTAATATATTTGTCCTTTATAATACATGCTGCTGATCTGACCAAAGGTCTGCTGACATCATATACAAACATATTCGGGTATTAAAAATGTGGGTTTCATCATTGAAAATGATTACACTTTGTTACTCAAATTACAGTAGATTCAGTAGCTGATGAAACAAAAATTGTATCTATATATACATATATATAGCAAAGAGATTATTTTTAGAGCAGAGCCCTGATTTTTGGTAACACAAATGATTGATCGACAAATGACAGCCATTTACTAGTGGTATGAAAGACAAAAATACAGCTTTTTTTTTTTTTTTTTCCACTTGGATTTTGCTCATCTAATTTTTGGTATTGCTGGAAACTATTAAAAATCAAAATCTGAAGTGAAAAATACATTGAGAGAAGTTTTCATGATACTACATCATTTAACAATCATTATTTTCTTGGACAGGTCTGCTGATGTTGAGCTTGAAAAAATACAGAGATTTAACTGTATCCTTTCTGAAAGCTGTAAAGATTTTTCACTTTTGTATTCTGTTGTTCATCTGGATATTGAAATCTGTATTTTGGATCATCAAAGGCTCTCTATCCTATTATCACCTTCTATTGTCTTACCCACCTCTTAAGATTACCGTATTAAGCCAATTTTCATTTTTTTATTTATCCTTTTATGGTTTAGCTTGTCTGATTTCTACATCACAGCAGCAGTAACAAAGGCAACGGCAGCGTACAAAACTAAAATAAATAAATCGCCAAAAAAAGGAAGCCCTTTAATGGGCACTGCCCTAGCTTCACTAACACTCACCTGCTGGTCTTTTCTTGAAAGCAGGATGATGCAGTTGCCATGGGGCTTGTTGTTACAGCACAGAACCTTTCAGTTTTTCAATTACCTTAGTTTCTCTCCACAGTGTTCACACAGCTCAAAAAAGTGTGCTGCACTGGCTGCTCTTAAAGCCACTCTTATTGTCTTCAAGCCAGCATTCAATCTTATTAGTATGAAAAGTGCTTGCTGTTGAATGTGCAGTGTGACATCATGTAGTTTCCTTTTTAAGGTAACTTCTGGATAAATCAAAGTCTCAAACACATTTTCTATAAATGTTGTAGACATTTTAAGTAATATACTCTTTATTTTTCAGCTTTATGTACTTGCCATGCTATGAAATGTGAGACTTTGCAGAATGATCAATAGGAATCCAGAGAAGTGTTTCTCTTATTAGGAGGGAGAGTTTGAATAATTTTTTTCTTTCCTTAACAAAATAACACTAGTTTTATTGGATAATAGCAATGTTCTGGAAAGAACATCTGCTGCAAAAAACAATCCATCTGGTCTTACTGTCAGAAAAACAGAAAACGGGAGTGAGACGGAAAAAATCAGTGAAGGGTGTGTCCTGGAGGCTTTGGAAAAAACTTCCAAAGTAATTCAGGATATTGAATCTCTGCTTGCGGCTTCTGGGAGGTGAAGCCCCATGGCACATGCAGACCTGCGTTCAGCATCTTCATGCGAGCCGCCCAGTTCTGTCTCAGGAGGCTTTGAGGTGCAAGAGCAATGAAGGCTGAAGGCAGAGCGATTGAGTTGCTTTTGTAATACCAGAGTTGCGTGCTGTGGATAGGCAAGAAGAAGTGAAGTAACAGAGCATAGCTGTATAAATGTATCAGTGCTGACCTGGAAGTGCTGCTTTTACATGTATGAGTCTGTTTGAATTGTGTGATTTTCTAGAAGACTGTACAAGGAACTTAGTTACTGCTCAAGTGGGGATATCAAGTCGGGATAAGCAGTTTTACCTGTATAAATGTGCTTTTATTCAGAAGCATACAGTAAATAGTCCAAAATTGAATAAAAAGCTTTCCAAATGCTTCCTATTTCACAGTTTTGTAGTAAATAAGTATTTATTTATTAAAGTGTCTTCAGCACTTCCTGGTGCATGGTCTGTTACTGGGTGGTACACTGTTGTATTGGTGGTGTATAGTGAAAACACTAGCCTGCTGCTCCAGACATGAAAATTAGACTACAGCAAAAAACCTATTTACCAGTATAGGATCACAGCTAGGTTGGAAAAGACCTTTAAGTTCATCATGTCCAACCATTAAACCAGGACTGTCAAGCCCACCACTAAACCACCAAGGGCCTCACCTACACCCCCCACGGGCCTCACCTGCATGGTTGGTGAACACTTCCAGGGATGCCGATTGCACCACTGCCCTGGGCAGCCTGTTCCAATGCCTGATCACCCTCTCTGTGAAGAAATTGTTCCTAATACCAATATAAACCTCCCCTGGGGCAGCTTGAGGCTGTTTTGTCCCATCACTTGTTACTTCGGAGAAAAGACCGGCCCCCACCTCACTACAACCTCCTTTCAGGTAAATGTAGAGAGTGATAAGGTCCCCCCTGTGCCTTCTCTTCTCCAGACTAAATATCCGCAGTTCCCTCAGCCGCAGGACTTAACGCACCAGACCCTTCACCAGCTCCATTGCCCTTC